CCTCGAGGAACAAGCAAAGTACAGGAAGGTTATGGAGGTGGGTTAGAATAAAGAGAGAGCATTTGTTTATGCGCTGTTTGGAAGTTCATTACTGAATTTGATACATTAAAGCCATTTTGAAACGCTTCCACCACTTCCATCCCACCCCCAAGAAAAGGGAGCGATTCAGGAACTTAAATAGAGAGTATTAGTTATACAAAAAAGATATTACACATCAAAATTCAGGAGTGTTGTGTATTAAACCCAAGTGCAAGACATGAAATTTTATTGTAAAGCTATGAAATAAAACTAGTTTACAGGTTAAATCACTAATACGACTTTTTTAGGATGTTCATCAAAATTTACTTACACATTTTAAAACAAAGAAATGTGTTTGTTGAATGACTGAATTTCCTGCTGCCTCAGAAGTCCTTTTTATTCCTCTTTGAAAAGTATTTACTTAATTTTTCTTGTTCAGTCAGGTAGGTATCATGATTGATAATGTAAGATAATGATTTTAAATTCTGTTGATGCATCACTTACAGCAGTAGTTGTTTGAAATCACTGTAAACAATCACTGCCGATAAAAGTAGAAGAAAGTAAAGACAAGGAAGAAAATAGATGTAAACATTAGTGGACTCCAGTAAGATTATTGATTTCTTTTAGATTGCTTGACAGATAAAATGGCGAAGCAAAAAGTCCAACTTCAAAAACATCACTTGAAGAAAATATGGGAATGTAGCAGGGGAGGAAGAAAATGATGAATGCTACTTTGTTAGAGAGGGGAAAAAATTCAATCCTTGTGCATGAAGTATTCATCATTTTCCTTTTTGTTCTACAGCCATTTAGTAAGCATCTGATAAACATCCATTTAGCTGTAGTAGGCAAAAATCATGTTTAAAGTCTTGGTTTATGGGTCATCTTTCAAAGCATTACATCTTAATAGTTAAAAACTTTATCAGGTTCTGTACAACTGTTTAATGTCTGAGGCTGCAAGCAATTCTCAGAAGCAAGCAGTGAGGAATTTCATTCTGAACGGCAGCGCGTGTTGTAAGGAGGGTATAATGCATATTCACATCAGTGCTGGACAGATTTTATAAAAATGGCACTGGAGATACTGGTCTCAGAGGAGAAACACATTACTCCAAATACATATATTCAGAATAACAATGAAACTACCCTCTGAGGGTTTCTGTGATGTTACAGGTGAACTGTGAATGTTATTAAAAGGTAGGAAGGGAGGAGAGAACACATACTTTATAGTGTTAAGTCATGTGCAGGCTGTAACACATATACATAAAGGTGTTTCAGATGGAAAAAGGATGTAAGTGAAAACGCTGCATGTAAATTTTTGGACTTTTAAAAATGCAATCTTGCTTATTTACAAAGAATTCACAAGTTCTGTTTCTTTAAAAATTTGGTGAAAAATGAGGTGCCAATGAGAGACGGAGAGAGACTTTTGCTGGTAGGTGCCAACCTCTTTAACAACACCTTCAGCCCCCCCTACAAAATGCTCAGCTAGTCTTGAATCTCTTTTGTAGTCTCCTGCTTCTTTCTCTTATACACATTTGTATGCAAAGCACTATCCAGCAAAGTTTCTACTTGTTTCTAAGTTAAATTACCATAGCAGATTTCCACGTGTTTTTGGAGGGTGGCAGAGACAGCAGTTTTGTTCTCGAGGCAGGTACTGTTTCGTGAAAGATCTTTACTATTTATTACATCTGTCCCTGGTGGAAGATTGCAATTACTATCCTACTTCCAGCAACTCTTTGCCTGAATCATGACAGCTCTTAATTATGTGTGAAAGTAGAAGTTACATACAGAGAAATTTCTTGGAGCCAATTACCTAGGAGATATATTCAGGCTTAGAATGGTCTTCAGCAGGGCTATTCTTCTCGTGGTTCTCATTCTGTTGTTTTTGCTTCAGGAGCTATGAAACTTTACCTGACTTATGATACCAGAATTTGCATTGGGAAGGAATTTCTGCTCTCTCCTTCCCAAAGTTTCTCTCTCCCCCCCCCCCCCCCCTTTTTTTTTTGTAGTCAGATTTGGTCCTGTCTATAGTTCTTCCTTCAAATAAGCTTCTTGCAGCCTACTGCTGGGTAGTCTACTGCTGAGCATACTGCTCAAGGAAACACAAAGAAGTAAGTAACAAGCTTTCAAATTTCTGATCAAGCTTAATATGTCAAATCTTATTATTCAGGAACATGAACTTTATTACCCTTAAGTTATAAATGTTGCATTTTCAGTTTTAAGTATTTAATGGCAAAGATTTATTAATGTCTGTGCTTAAAGAAATGTATACCACAATGGTAGTCATGCTGGAGTTGATTTTCAAAATAATTTCAAGCCTGCAGAAGTTGACATTTCAAAAATGTCCTATTCCAACTCATACTAAATCCAAGATTTTAAAGGATGTCCAGCTTCGAGACATCTTTTTATTCGAGATGAATAAAGATAACTGAGCCAGCACAGATGTACAGCTTCCCGACCCAGAATAGGTAGGGTGTTAGGAACTCTGCCATTTAATATAGAAGGATGAAATTCAAGTCAGTTGCCACAGAAAGGCAAGAAAGGAAGTTGAAGTCCGGTCTCACTTATCCCACAGAAACACCCTCTTGGGCTGCTGTGACAGGACTTTGGCGCATAGTCCATCTTAAGAGATTTCTGTTTCTGTGGGAAGTTTAGGCTTTATTGTATCGACGTTTCCAGAGAAACTGTTTTCTCTGAAAACTTCCAGAAAGCTCTCAATGTCCTACAACAATTAAATTGTATTTATTATAGGTTGTTATTTCCTGCTCAGTCTCTCTTCATTCAGGGTTATTCAATTATGGAAGGTGACTCTGATTTTTAATAAGCACTTCTTAATTCATGTTTCACCATGAGACTTATGATGGCTTGAAATAAGCCTCATTTATTAAAGGTAACCCTGACAGCACAAGGTAGGTTAAATTATAAAATGCTAAGAGTTTCAGGAAAGAGACGATCTTTGGAGATTGTAGTAGTAACTTGATTTTGTAGATTGACCATCGTCGATGACCGTTCTCTAATCAATGTGCTACAGGAAACACCTGCATGTGCGACACTAGTTCATCTTTGCTTTCTGCTTCTGCTATTAAGCCATCAATATAATTGTCAATAAAGGAGCTGGCCACTTGTTGGAAAGCTTACATCCAAAGATAGTAGAGAATGTTCCTGTAAAAAGACACTGGTCTCCCAGCAGCATTAAAAGTTGGATTTCAGAAAGCCATGTAAGCATTTGTGCACTGCAGTTTTTCCACAGTAGGGCTAAGCGTTACAGGGACAAGGTCATCCTGATGACCTCAGTGGAAGGGAACAGCCCAGCTGCTTGGGGGACTAGAATTACAGGGCTTTTTTTCTGCCTAATTAGCAATATTACTTTATATTTTGCACATCCTTTTGCATGCATTAGGAAGAAGTCTTCAGGGAGCTCATTATGTTACCAGCCTTGTAGTTACAGGCTTGCAAAGCTGTAGCTTCAGGGATGCGGGAGGTGCGTTCACTTGAAGAAATTCCATATCCAGACTGAAACACTGCTGAAGACTTGTAGGAACTCTGCAGGATGTCTCCTGTGGGGCATGCTTTATCCTGTCCTGTGTGTTCCTGCAGAGAAGTTGTCCAGATGAATCCTCCTTGACGTATTTTCACTTTGAGATAATGGCTGAGGGCAGAAATTGTCCTCATGTCATCTGTTAATGAGTCTCTAACCAACAAATGGGTTTGTGAAGAAAAAGGAGCCAATGAAACCTTGGTTATTGCCGCCTTGGCATGATTTTTCAGAGCCCAGTGCGGTTCCTGTGACTGGCATATTCTAGAAGTACAATTTAGTGTGAGAGCTTTTTATTTTTTTTCCCGTTTGGTGAAGAGAGGGTGAAGCATAACGTTCCCAGCACACTACTATGCTAACACACTCAAAACTGTGTTGCTGAGAGTAAGACAAGAATCTCTAAATAAAGGATATAGGACAAGAGCTTATGACAACACTTTGAGAACAATAGCATGAACATTTGTTGCAAGAATGTCTATCTGAATCCAAATTCATTCACTCCTCTCTGAGCTTTCCTCTTCTGAAGACTGGATCCTTAAATCAAATAAGATGGCACAACATACGTCATGGAATTATTTTGTATAACCGAGTTAAACAGTTCAAACTGAAGAAAGTATTGTGTCATTATTTTCTGGCCATCATGGAACTATGCTAGCAGCTGCTCCTCAAAAAGTGTGTATGTCTTTACCCAATGAGGATCATAGAGGATGTTCCTATGTGAAGTCCCAAATGTTAGAGTAGATCAGCACTTTAAGGAGAAATATTAATCAGAGGTTTATAAAAAGAGGCAATCAGAACGTCATGTACTTTCCCCAGTTGATGAGCTGCACCTTTCTTCCTCTCACCACCACCAGCTAAAGGATTTTGGATTTGTATCATCATTTTTGGGCACTACACACCTGGCATATACCCCATTACCTGTGGAAGAAGTCATTTTCTAATGACATTTTCTAATGATCACAGACAAAAAATGGTGTTATCAACTTACCTTTCACTGAAATACAAATGCACAGAACCCAGAATAACCCGGAATAAAAAGGACAGTTTCATTTTAATGGAACATAGTTTGAAAAAGAACAGTTTTTAACAGTTGAAGTTTTGATTATAACTGCACTATGATACGGTGATACATTTTTAAACATATAGTATGTTAGCGTACTTATGTAGTGTGTAGAATTAACAACGCACATAAATAGTAATTTTAACTAGATAATTTTGTCATAAGAGTTTTTCTTCATTTATGTAGAAAACTTGTGCAAATGAGAACAGAAGACTTGGTGGAGTTGTAGAGGTGTATGTCAGCATGGGATTTGTCTTCGTCAGTGTGAGCTGCCCCTTTTTGCAGCTTTCTATTGCTTATATCACTTCAGCCTCTAGCAAACTGAAGAATGCTCACTTTGTTCAAGTCTATTAGTTGCAAGTGACTTAATTGCTTAGAAAAATATCTTTGCAGGGCAAAGCAAAAGCAGGCAAAATGCTCCAAGAGTGCAGAAGAGTAGACTTCTGACAAAAAGAAGAATGGCACAGAAGGTAAGCCGTTTCAACGTATTATTCTTGCACTACTTAATGTAAATAAAAGAAAACAGACCAATGCTAATTACGTAACCTTCAGTGATGCAAAATGTCTTGTTCTTGCAGGTTCAGGGAAAACTGTGTTGTGAGATTTGATTGTAAAATTTCTGAACACAAAAATGCATTAATTTCTGCAATGTACTAGATAGGTTATTCTAACATGTTCCAGCAAAAGACCTTTGCGGGTTTTTTTAAATGTTATTTGAATATTTCTTTCAGGATGGGTATTCCTTCTTCACTTCTGCTCTGTGGTTTGTAGGATGACAATGCCATCTTTTATAATTAGCATGTCAAAGATAGAGGGTAGCTGCCAAAATATAGGGTACAGTGTGTCCTGAAGTATTTATCAATCTTTATCCTAATAGCAAAGTGTTCATGGGCTACATGTACGACCGGGCATTCGCTTATGCTTACTTCCTGGGTTTTAGATTGCAAAACTGATTCATCCGTAAGTGCTTTGTCTGGAAATAAAGATTACTTATATACTCATAAATCTGTAAAGCTCTTAATTACATGTTTATATGTAGTTTGTCTTGAGATAGGTGGACACTTGTGTTTATTTTCTAGCTGCATTACTACTGACCTGGAAGACAACAAAGGCAAAAGACCCTTTAATTGCTATTATTAGCACAACTCTCACACTGTTCAGACAGAATTATGTGCTGTGTGTGCTTCTGAAAGTATTTTCTGAATAACCTGCCTCGGATTTCAAGCCAAGTGTTTAGACTGGGACAGATGAATAAATGCACGTTCTGCTGGAGTGGAACTGCTTGAGGGTGTGACTGGCCGATCGAACCTTACAGCAAGCATTGCTGATTTCAGCCTTCCGTCACTGTCTTTCATGTCAACATGTTACCTGTGTGGAAAGTCCCCTGCTCCCTGCAAAGTGCATACTCTTAAGTTCTAGAGCTGTTTGGTGATACTCAGTAAGCTAGGATGCCTACGTTCAGTTAGATGCCAAAGAAACAATAGTTTTCATTCTTACAGCTATTATGAATTTTACTACTTTTTAAAATCCTTTTTTTAATGGATTTATCATGCCTGTTACTAATCCTTTCTGTCCACGTATGTGTCTTCCTCAGAACATGTGGTAATGTCCTCAGTCATCCTCAAGAGCTTTTAAATGTCTAGCAGATTTTGGAAAAGTCAGAGGTGGATTATTTTTCCCTATCACATATGAAATCTCATCTCACTTCTTCAGAAGAATCCCTTTGTCACTTGTCAGTAGCAGAGGAAATCATGGGATGGTCTTCGAGTCACACAAAAAATACCAGCTTCTAATTAACATTAATAATTTTAAAATAATTAAAAAACCACATTATTTTTAATGTCTTACCAAGCTACCAACTTTTTTTAAAGTAATTGCATAATAAACAAATTAATACTTAAAGGAGCAGAACATAGATATTCTCAATTTCAGGATAATCTAGATTTCTGAGTTCAGACCTGGAGGCAGAATGCAACTGCCAAGCCTGAAAAACGGTGCACAGACATGAATAACATAAATAGCATCCACAAGCAGTGTCTGAGACAGGCTGAGCCAGATCTTTAGCTGTTCTAGACTACTGATTCTCTGTGATAAGCTGTCCCAGCTGTGATAAGCTGGTATCAGCAAAAGTTTGGACAAGGGAAAATTAGTTTTACTGTCTGACTCTTTGAGAAAGAAATAACTAGGCAAACTCCCATCCTCTTCCCCCAACATACTTGTTTTCTCTGGCTTAGCCTTGACTGAATTTGATTTTTGTCTTGAGATTTTGATTTGACGTCACAGAAAAAAGTGCACTTAGAAGTAAGAGGGTGGAATTAAACTGGAATGAGGGCTTAAATAAACTTATTGCCGTAGATGCTTGGGAACCCTGGCAACCAGGGCTAATGAATGCATTCAAAAATGCTGACCGAAATACGTGTCACACTCTGCAAGACACTGACACGCTTCTGGAGCTGTGACATTAGGTGGTTCATCTTCTGATTACTGCTAACGGTTCCAAATTAGGTAATCCTTTAACAGAGAGGTCATCCCATGTGTACCTAAACAGCTATTCAAATAGGAGTACCTAATTACCTAGGTATTGAGCAATGGCAATAACTAGCATGAGCATAAGGTATATGGATATTTAACTCTTCATTATCTCCATTAAGGCATACGTAATTTTAGGTGCAATTTAAAAACTTTTTGTGTAAATCTAGTATTAATATTTATTTAATATCTCAACATTAATAAATTTGTATTTATATCTGATAAAAGGAAGCAAGCATATTCCTAATATTTAGGAAAATTAGTTGAAGTTCACAGAAGTCAGTGGGTAATCTATCTAGGAAGTGTAGAGGAAAGGCCTAAATTTCTGAAACAAAGCCTAGATCGTAGGATTTGCCAGGAACTAGCTTGCAAATGATTCCAAAAAGACTAATGTACTTATGAGGCAGAAGAGGGAAAGTGCAACAAGAGTAATGTAAATTAATAACAGAAGTTATGACCAGTTGTGCTATCTGCATTTATTTTGATATAAACCACAGAATTTCTGAGACTAGGCACTGAGCTATTGAGAACTGGCATGCCAAGAGTTGTCAGCTCTCTTTGTATTTCCAAAGCAACTTGTCCCAAATATGTACTGATGTCAGCAGCACAAATGTGTGCATAGTCAATTAAAATGCTTTTCAATTTTTTTAAATACTGTAAATTCTGCAGTGTTGTTCTTCAGCTATCACCTTCTAAAGATGAAAAAGCTACTGAAAGCACCCCTGTGTAAGACAGAATACAAAATGTCTTCTCATCCCAGTGACGCTTTGTGGTGACAGTTTCAGTGGCAGCAAAAACTAGAGCGTTAGTACCAGCGTTCGCTGTCTGCTGTGCTGCCTCGTTGGGGCCCAAGTTACAGATACAGGGTGGGTAATAGGTCAGCGAAACGTGTGAAGCAATGCGTCTTCCTGGGTGCAGTCATTTCCTAAAGTGAAGAAGACGTCAGACTTGAACTTAATAGTGGCTATTATGAAATATCTTGGTCAGCTAATGGCAGCGAGAGATTGAATGGCAACCTTGATATTCAACGGAAGACTAGTTTGGTTTTCTTATTTTGCTTTTAGCTGACTGCAAAAGAACAATCTGTTTCCAGGAAAGACTGTTGGAGGATTTGGCAAATGTTTGTTGGGGAGCAAGTCTCATTTCTCATCACAACTTCTTCATGTTTTCCCTTTAGACAGCAATATAGTGCAGTGCTGCAAGTCTTGCCCTGGAGAAGGATATCTTTGGAGGTGGTGAAAGAGGAGTCTCAGTGTCTACAGATGCTTCACTTATTAGCACAGAAGAACTGAAATACTGATGTCAATCTTTTTTTCTTTTTAGGACTATAACTGACATCAGGAGCCCCGCTAACTATTTAGTCGGAAGCCAGATGGTTGATAAGGAAAATGCAAGTAGCAGATGACAATCAGCGCACGCACTCCCTTAGTCTGCCTGCATATACCCCAGGACTGAAAGATTCACCAATCAGGTAACACGCAGTATTGCTGCTGTAAGCTAATTATTGTGTTTTAGGAGTAAAAAATGAAAATTTGTTCTCATAGGGAAAAATAATTGCTACAACTCTTTTGTTTGGTCACAAATAATTTGATTTGGAGATGATCGACCTTAGTATTTCTGGTTTTATTAATATGACAGGCTTCTAACTGTTTAGTCTGTGGGATGTAGAATAGGTTGGGAAGCTGGTGAGAAATATGCTGTCACACGATGCCTGAATTATTATGCAGAAAAAATTTATCAACTTCCCTCCTCCAGTTTATCCTATTTGGAAAGACGCATGAAAAATAAATGGCTGTTTCTAGTGAAAGCAAGTGCTACTTCATCTAGAATAAGCATTCTGTCGTGAAAAGGTTCACAATATTAACCATTCTCCACTACTGTTTGCAATCGCTGCTTCTTCTCAGTCTTTCTCACTCTGCTGCTTCTCTGCTCTATTTTCATTTTTTGAACTTTCCTCATTTGCCTGCTAGCTTTTTTTCAGATAAGCTGGAAGGTGAAGAATGACCAGACAGAACTCAAATGCCATTTTGTTATGCTTAATAGCTGATTAAAAAAGAGCTGGCCCATCTCTAGTGTTCACGCGCAAATGCTCTCTCTCGTTTTTTTTAAATTGAGTCATAATTGCCTATGCCAAAAGCTGTCAGTACAACAGGATAGAAAGCAGGCAGCTCTTCTTAGTGTTATATAAAGTTGTCATTTTGGAAGAATGAGCAATGATAAAGAGGTGTTGCAATGCTTTTGCCCATTTTCACAGTAAACCATGATGTTCGTGTTGCTTGTAGTGTTGATCTCTTTTCTAATAAATTGTTTCTCTTGTAAGGAAAGAATTCAAAACAAAGCAATAGGAATTTAAGCACAATACATATAAGGAAAATGGGGCTGGATTTCCTGCATGCAGTATAATAATGTATGAAAAGATTTAAGACTTTGATGTAAAACATGAAATTGAGTGTATTGTTTCTACCGTGGCAAGCACATTAGCAGATGCTAACGTCTAGCTGTACATTCAAAGAAAAATTTAACATAAAACATTCTTAACTCTACATATTATACATACAACACAGCATGCTGACTTCCTGTCCTGGTTTCAGCTGGGATAGAGTTAATTTCCTTCCTAGCAGCTGGTACAGTGCTGTGTTTTGGATTTAGGATGAGAACAAAGTTGGTAACACACCGATGTTTTAGTTGTTGCTAGGTAATGCTTACACTAG